CTCCATCCCATCCCTCTGGGTCTTCCCAGTGCACCAGCTTACCTTCTTACCTGGTAAGTAGACCACAATTTGACTTTGGGGTTCTTCTGCATCAAAAAGTAAACTGTAGTTAAAATGTCCTCAAAGTCTAGGAAGAAAAGACTTCTTAATAAACTTAATTCCATTGTATCTCTGGTTAAATTGAATACTGAGAAGAAAAGGTTTACCTTCTGGTTCAAAGAATACATCAGATGCAAGAATAATGTCTTGTGGTGGTAGAGCCAAAAGGTCCCGAGATACATGACCCCACGTGAGTCCTACAACATGGACCTGAGGCAGATTATTCATTTGGCAGCTTTGCCGACAGACTTCTAGGCAGTGAGGCAACTCTGAACTGTCTGACAGTGTAACTTCAGCACCACATTTTGCAGCCACAATTCCTGGAAGGCTCACTCCAGCACCAATCTAATAACAAATTTAAAGGTTTTGCTTAGAACTGCAACAAGCTGTGGATCTTGGCAAATGGTTCTCATTTCATGCTTGCATTGGCCTTTAAGTACAGCGTCAATGTGTAAATTTGAATTTTCCATGTCTATAAAACACCATCATTCAACACTGCTTTACTATGTGGAGCTTCCTTTAAACTTGTCGTGATAGTTCTAACTGGGTCAAAGGAGTTGGTCTATTTAAGCATTTTAAAGGGCCCTCAACTCTGCAACTACAGGCTCGAACTGGGAGGGTATGTAACTAGGACTCTGCAATCCAGCTGAGTCTGGGATGGAACAACCACTTGTTTTATGTGGATTTTCAGTTTTGTGGAGGGTGGGTCCTCCAATCACTGAGCTGTTAAAGGATCAGCCATTTCCAAATAGGAGCATATCTTGAGCAGTTCCATTGTTTAGGATGTCCAGGGCATTATAGCACTATAGTGACCTTCAGTCACTTTTAGTTCTCATGATCTATAAGGAGTTCCTAATTACACCAGGTCTCTAGAAGCTCAGTGGGTGACTTGAATGTACAACCAGCCATTAAGTTACTAAATTTTAAATAGCTTTTAAACGGCTAAAGCCTCACAGGTCTACAGCATGACTTGACTTTAGAGGGGATTTTTCCAGTTGGGTCTTTTTTTTTTTTCCAGTTGGGTCTTTTTTTTTTCCAGTTGGGTCTTTAGAGCAGCAAAGAGCTTAAACATACTCACTTTGCATAATACCAAGAAGCCCCTTCATAAACATTACTATTGCTATGGATTGAAAAATGCTTCCTGTTCAAGGATCAACACTGAGATTCCAGACCTTTTTTTGAGTAGCTAAAAACCATCACTACTTTGAGCCCAAATTATGCACCAAATTACTTCATTTCATTTATATGCTTTTGCAAAAGTTAGGAGGTGTCCTTAAGTTGATTTGTCTTCAGCCTTTGGGTTTAAGCATAGTACCATTTCTGCAAATGACTTAAGTTTACTTCTGTAAGCCTTCAGCAGTCTTAAGCCAGGTGGAGTAGTGAGAAAGCACCGGATACATCTCAAAACTAACCTCAAGATCTCCAAAGATGAAAGCCATTTTTTGAGAAAGGCTGCAGTGGTATAGCAGAGCCTGGATGACCCTGTTGGGACACCCCAGAAAGATGGCCTCAAAGACTGCTTCCACGCCAAGATTCCTTAAGATTAGTCAATGGGTTTCACTTACACTTCAAAAAGTGTTTTTAACTGACCTCCCATGGAGGCTGGGCACATCATCCCTGACTTAAAAATATCTAACAAAATCCAATAACCAGCATACAGATTTATAATCTAGGATTTTTGCAAACCTCAAGGGCACTTTTACCTCTAAGACAGCCTTGCCTGGCAGAGATCCTCTGTGAAACCACAGGTACTGGGCCAGGACCACAGCACAGGGCCAAACATACATTCCATATTGAAGATGCAGGACCTGAAAAGGAATTTTTTGTATGCCGTAAATAACATGCTGGAAGTCAGAATATTTATACAGCAATTACTGAGTGCCTGGCACTGGCATCCATTACAAAAATGACAATTCCCTGTTCTCCAGTTTACATCCTATGGGTGGGGAAGTGAAGTGAAAGTTGTTCAGCCGTGTCTAACTCTGCAACCCCTGGACTATAGTCCATGGAATTGTCCAGGCCAGAATACTGGAGTGGGTAGCCTATCCCTTCTCCAGTGGATCTTTACGAGCCAGGAATTGAACCAGGGCCTCCTGTATTGCAGGTGGATTCTTTTACCAACTGAGCCATCAGAGAAGCCCCTTGGGTTGGGGAGAGGGAATATAAAACTATAATGCAATGTGATAAGCACTTTTTTTTCCTTTGTTTTTTTGTGATAAGCATTCTTCATAATTCACTTATTCAACTAGAATTTATCCAGGGCCTGAGTGGCTTAGTGGCTATTTTAGGCTGAGGATGTAACTCATGGAGTATGTGTGTATATATATATATATATATATATATATATATATGTGTGTGTGTGTGTGTGTGTGTGTGTGTGTGTGTGTGTGTGTGTCTTACTGTGGAGAGAGAACAAGTAAGCAAATATTTTTGGTAATAATACTACCAGCACAATGTAACAGGGTGATATGAGAGTAATGGGGGTGGGCAGTGACCACAAGGTGGTTGCTCAAGATAGGGAGACAGGATGATTCAGGCAAAGGCCAAGGCCTCTCCCAGGGCCCTCTACCTGGCAGTGTGGGCCTGAGGGCTGGAGGTAGGGTTGCATAGTACAAGCATAGGTCAGAGGGAAAGCAAAGACCAGACATGTGGTGCCCTGTAGGCCACAGGAAGTTTAGCTTTTTATTTAAGTGCAGTGAGGAGATACTGGAGGGTTTTAAGCTAGGTATAACCTGGTAATGGGCTTCCCTGGTGGCTCAGATGGTAAAGAAGCCATCTGCAATGCAGGCCAGGCTTTGATCCCTGGGTTGGGAAGATCCCCTGGAGAAGGAAATGGTTACCCACTCCAGTACTCTTGCTGGGAAATTGCATGGACAGAGGAGGTTGGCGGGCTACGGCCCATGGGGTCACAAAGAGACACAACTAAGCGACAGAACAAGCACGAACGTGCTAATGCTAAGGAGGAACAGGGTGGTTCTAGGATGACATCTCAGATGAGGTCTGCGTAGAGCTGAGTCCTGGAGTTAGGAAGGCAGGCAACTTGTAAAGCCTTTGGGGAGGCACTGAATTATGAGCATGGTATTTAGGGAGGCAAGGTAACAGCTCACAACTCTGGAATAAGCCTGCCTGAGTTCAAACTTGAGAAATGTAATTTATCAATACTAGCTGTGTGACCTCACTCAAGTTACTTAACCTGTGCTTCAGTTTCCTCAACTGAAAAACACTATTTTCACAGAATGTCAGAAAAATTCAATGAAAACTTGTTCGTACAAAGTATACAAAGTTGGTGACTGTTAAACTGCAAAACTGCAAGTCTTTCTGTTTCCTAACAGTGCGCCTCCCAGGGCGATAGGCTGAAAAGATAAAAATATCAAAAGTGAAGGAACTGAAGGTCTTCATATAATCATTCAATACACTCAACAGAGATATTAGTGCCTAGGCTGCACTTGCCCACTGAAATGGCCCACTTTTGTCTGTGGAGTGTGTTTCTAAACAAATGCACTTCTTACTTAAAAAAATATTCTAGGTGTGAATAAAACAAAAATGCCTGCCCTGGTGGATTTTGCCCAGGAGTACAGTGAAGGAGTTCTGATCTGAAGTGAGTTATCCAAATTTAGGTAATTTAAAAAAAAAAAAAAAGGACATATCTTCAACAATACCCTAATACAACATTTTTTAAATTAAAGGTGTATTTTTTCACAAGGTGTATCTTCATCCACTTCCTAAATTTGGGAAGAAATCGAAAGGGGAATTTTAACACGAAGACTTTTAGAGACTGCCAGAAATGGATTCCACTCCTTCAACTCCAGCCTACAACTCCTCTTAACCTGTTTCTCATATTCAAAACCGTTAATGCCAATGTCTACCCCACCAGCTGCTGTTAAAATCAAATGAAACACTGCAACGTGAAAGTGCTTTGAAAAACCGGACGCATAAAAAAATATATAATTGCTACTGAGAATCTGGGGGCAGCCATGAGCTGAAAGGAAGCAAGGCCAAGCCCCAGAAACTTTGATTAATGAGAGTTGGAATCCCCTCCCAGATAAATCTCAATTAACACGCCCTTCAACAAGATTATAAAAATTAGGTGTCAAGAATGTCACTTTCCTAGCAAGAAATAATTAGGTATGGAGAAGTTCCCCTTCTCGACATTTAACCTGCCAAAAGGCTTCATACCAAACCGTTTGGCTCTGCGGGTTCACCCGAAGGCGGAATGAAAAAGCCTCTGACCCCCTCCCTTATACCCCTCCCTACAGCCCCAGGCCGGCTGAAACACACTATTTCCCTAAGGCGCTTCCCTGCGGGTGCCTTGACACGCACCTGCGGGACGCACACCTCCAGTACGGCCCCCTCATCTCCCAGACCGGGCCCCTCCGAGAACCGAAAGCGCTGGGCCCGGACCACTTGCCCTCGGAGGCCACCCTCGTCCGAAGAGGAGTCGGTGGCGTCCGTGCGGGCCGGGAGCAGGGGAGAGCGCCGGGCCGCCAGGCTACCAAGCTGCACGCGCGAGGGCCCCCGGGCCGGCTCGGGCCGTCTCCCCGGAGCACGTCAGGTCGCTACTACCCGACAGCAAGCGGGGGAAGCACCCCTCGAGCGACTAAACGACCATGCAGCAAGAACAGGCCCCCACACCAGGCAAACGAGACAGAGAACAGGTGGAGCTGGCGAATAGCCCGCCGGAAGAAGGCAAAAAAAGGCACCATGCGCCGCCGGAAGTGACGAACAGGAAGCGGGCGCGGGAGAGGCGGAGCCGCAACGAAGAGGTAACACGACTGGGCTGACCTTCCCAACATGGCGGAGATCCTGCCTGTGTGAGGGCTGGGCCCGGAGACGCGGAGGCCAATGGCTTATCGCGAGAGGTCGGAGGGCGGGGAAGACGACAGCCACTGGTCCAACCGGAGGCTCGGGAGGTGGTTAGGGAGTGAATCTTCTGGAAGGCGACTTTAAAGGCGCCCGGCCAGAGCGAAGGGCGATTTGTGCTGCCGTCGCCCGAACCTGGGTGTGTGTGCGGGGAGGGGGGCGGCGCATTGGTGGCAGGAAGCAAGCTGCGCCGAGGTCGTCGCGGAACCAGCTGGTGTTGACCCTGCAGGATGAACCACAAGAGCAAGAAGCGGATCCGCGAGGCCAAGCGGAGTGCGCGGCCGGAGCTGAAGGACTCGCTGGACTGGACCCGGCACAACTACTACGAGAGCTTCCCGCTGAACCCGGCGGCCGTGGCGGTGAGCGGGCCGCGATCGCGGGCCGGGCGGACCACGGGCATCCACCGGGGGCTGTGCGCACCTCTCCTGGGACTGGGGTCCGCCAGCCGCCCAGCACTGCCCCGGAGTTCCGATGGGCTCGCCCGCACCCCGCGGAGGTCGGGGTCGTCGGCGCCTGTTCCAAGGCGGGCCTCATTTCTCCTCGCCGCAGCCGCGCCTGCCGGGGGCAGCTGGAGCCCCACGCCCTTGACACCCTCCACGAGGCCTGTCACCCCTGCACCCCTTTTGGGCGGCGGGGCCATAGGGAACTTGGGCGTCCAAGGCCACAAGTGGGAGACGCGAAGCCCCGCTTGCCTGGTGGGATAGCGGTGGCTTTGCCGTGCCCGAACGCACGCAAGTCCTTTCCCCTCCCTACGAGGAGCCAGAACTAGAATCTAGCTCCTTGGGCATGTGATTGCTAGTTGGCTTTGAGGAACACCCTTACCTGCCACTGGGCTTTTCTCTCTCTCTCTCTCTTTTTTTAATTCGATGGGTCTTTTCTGATTCCCTCAGGACAATGTGGAAAGGGCAGACGCTTTACAACTGTCGGTGGAAGAATTTGTGGAGCGATATGAAAGACCGTACAAGCCCGTGGTTCTGCTGAATGCCCAAGAGGGCTGGTCCGCGCAGGAGAAGTGGACTCTGGAGCGCCTCAAAAGGAAATACCGGAACCAGAAGTTCAAGTGTGGGGAGGATAACGACGGGTACTCGGTGAAGATGAAGATGAAATACTACATCGAGTACATGGAGAGCACCCGCGATGACAGCCCCCTTTACATCTTTGACAGCAGCTACGGGGAGCACCCCAAAAGAAGGAAACTTTTGGAAGACTACAAGGTGCCCAAGTTTTTCACCGATGACCTTTTCCAGTATGCGGGGGAGAAGCGCAGGCCCCCTTACAGGTAAATACTGGGCAGTGATGTGGTTATAATCTTGTCTCCAGCAACTAATCTTTTTTCTGAAACAGTGAGTGGTTCTGCCTTGGTTGCTCGTGGAACTTAAAGGGCTCCCCATACCTGCCCAGAGCCTCCTGCCCGAAGCTGCCTGGGCATCAGATTTCTGAAAGCTCCCCCATGTGACTCAAGCATGCAATCAAAGTTGAAACAGTGATCTGTAAGGGACGTTTTATTTTACCTAAATATTTATTTATCCTGGCTGTGCCAGGTCTTGGTTTCGGCATGCAGGCTCTTTTACGTTGTGGCATGCAGGATTTCGTTCCCTTTTGTTGTTGTTTAGTCGCTCAGTCGTAGCCAACTCTTCTGCCACCCCAGGGACTGTAGCTCTGCAGGCTCCCCTGTCCATGGGATTTCCCAAGGAAAAATGCAGGAGTAGACTGCCATTTCCTACTCCAGGGGATCGGCTTAATCAAACCTGCATCTCCTGCATTGCAGGTGGATTCTCTACTGCTGAGCCACCAAGGAAGCCCCTAGTTCCCTGACTAGGGGTCAAACCTGGGCCCCCTCCTTTGGGAGCCCATAGTGTTAGCTACTGGACCACCGGGAAAGTCTCTGTAAGGGACATTTTAATAGCTAAAGTCCAGCAATAAGCCGCATCAATGATTTTTCTGTTAGGGATCAGTCCATGTACAATTTACTCAGCATTTCTGTATATCAGAATTTGCCCAGTTTTCAAAATAACAGTAACATTTGTATAAAACTGAAAGCTGCTTTTGTGGCATGTATGTAGTTAAATTACACTGCACATCTTGGATGCTTCCATCCTTTAGGTGGTTTGTGATGGGGCCACCACGCTCTGGAACAGGAATCCACATCGACCCTCTGGGAACCAGTGCCTGGAATGCCTTGGTTCAGGGCCACAAGCGCTGGTGCCTGTTCCCTACCAGCACACCTAGGGAGCTCATCAAGGTGACCCGGGAAGAAGGAGGGAACCAGCAAGATGAAGCTATTACCTGGTTTAACATCATCTATCCCCGGACGCAGCTTCCAACCTGGCCACCTGAATTCAAACCCCTGGAAATCTTACAGAAACCAGGAGAGACTGTCTTTGTACCAGGTATAAATGATCCAAAAGTACTTTCTTTGATTTCAGTAATCTGTCATTTTGGAGCACAGTTATATACAGTGTGAGTCAAAGAAACCCCTCTGCATGCTGACTCTGGGTGGACTGACTGGGGCCTGCCTCTGACTGTGATGTGTTGCTGTGTGATCACCTGCTCAGGGGGCTGCTGTCCACCTTTCTTGTAGCCTGTGTGTATAATGACTATTGAAAAACTTCTTATCTGCTGGAGTGCCTGTTCATTTTTATTCCTACTAGTTACCCAGTGTCTTTGTGTGTGTTCAGTGACTTGTGCTTATTTCCATAAATGGGGTTTTTGACAGGGGGTTTTGAGTCAGAAAACAGTTACTTAAAAGCCAAGAGGCAGGAAATCCCACACCTGAAAATTACGCTTTGTTTTGATAGGTTAAGTGTTGGAATTGAGGGTATTTAAGGTATGCACCCTCCTCCTAGAAACCGAAGAACTTGCTGCCTTTACAGTTTTGGTCACAACTTTGGATGGTCAGGGCTGGACACATTTATTATGTAAAAGAGCCAGAGAATAAATATTTTAGGCACTGCAGGCCGGATGGTTTCTGTCCTAAGTGCTCAGCTCTGCCCAGGTGGCAGGAAAGCAGGTATGGCCAGGTTCCAGTGAAACTTTATACAAGCAGGTGGTTGGTGGTTCCTGCCTCAGGAGGAGCGTTTACCACACCGGGTCCTGGTTCTCTTAAGACTGTCCCTTGTGGACAGGAATCCCCAATTTCTGAAGTTTGTGTCACATGTTATGTGAAATTTGTGTTGTAGGGTGATTGTGTGTAGAGCCTGTTCCTGTTTAACTGTTCATTTGTTGGATTTCAGGAGGCTGGTGGCACGTTGTCCTCAATCTTGACACCACCATTGCCATCACCCAGAACTTTGCCAGCAGTACCAACTTCCCTGTTGTCTGGCACAAGACGGTAAGAGGGAGACCAAAGTTGTCGAGGAAATGGTATAGGTGAGAGACATTTTTTTTTCCTTATTTTTTGCTTTGCTCAAACTTCTACCCCAGTGATACAATGGCAAGAGTCCACTGCTGCTGTAACATGTGCTGAGTTTAAATCAGGCCTGGGAACAACTGGGGCTGCAAAACCTCACGGGTAGAAGAGAGTGAGTCCAAGGTCAGGGCCAGTTCTCAGGAGGCTTGCCCGCCTCAAGGTGACAGGCTCAGACTGCATGTTTGATCAAGGCCAGGTAGTCCCAACAAACAAACACGGTCATAATTGGTATTGTTCCTCATTTTCTGTTTTCGTTTGTTTGGTTTTAGTTTTGTTTTTCCTCAAAGCTAGCTCTAGCAAAGGTAGCCATTTTGTTTGGGTTTGATTTTGGTTGTTTTCTTTTCCTTACTCCAAAAGCTTTACCCCCCCCCATTTGAACTTATTACCTTCAGTTCTCGTGAGTGAGGTGACTGCCCTGGAGACTTAGCTCCTCTGTTTATCCACAGAACAGATACAGCACGGGCAGCGGCAGTGCAAGCCACCCCCAGCCACCCCGTGCCACTGTGTCCCAACCCTGACCTGGAGGGACCAGCTCTCGGGGTAAGAGAGGGATCCCGGCTTGCTCAGCGCTCAGCCTCCCTGCTGAGAGGGCCAGCAAGGGTGGTGGCTTTATCCTCCCCGGACTCTCGGGCGTCCGAGGCCCACTGACTCCATCCCTCAGGCCGCTGCGTACTGCCGTCTGGTCCTTCGGAAAGGCCTTCCCGAACAGTGCGTCTTTTGTCCCCGGCTGCAGGGGCCGCCAGAGGAAGCCCCTGGGGCGGGCTGGCAGCTGCCCCCCGACAGTCCTGTCCAGCCTTACCTCCCAGCGAGGGGGGACCCTCTCTGTCACCCAGTGCTTCTTACCTCTCACAAACCTCGTTGTTTCTGCTCTTAACAAAAAGAACGTCAACTGAGCCCAGCCCCATCACTGAGCACTGTGCTGTGGAAAGGAGAGGTTAAAAAACATCAGCTAGGAAGGTGCAGGGAAAAGTACGAGGGAGAGAGATGGTTTCTCCCACGACTAACTCAGGGAAGCGTGGCCTCGTGTGGGCAGCACACGTGGCTGGTCAGCCCAGGAGGTAGCAGCAAGTTGCGTGTGGCCAGTTTTCCTTTCAGGAAAGCCTGAGCAGCAGGGGGGGCTCTTGTCCCCAGCCTGTGGATCCGTGTGTGTCCTCTCCACCGTCCCGGCACGTCTAGGAGAGGCAGGGCTCAGCCCTGAGTCTGGGGCTCTGTGGGTGGGTGTCGCCGCACTGAGAGCACGTGTCTTGTCCCTCAGGATCTTGAAGCAGGAGCACCCGGAGTTGGCGGTCCTGGCTGACTCCGTCGACCTGCAGGAATCCACAGGGATCGCCTCCGACAGCTCCAGCGACTCCTCCAGCTCCTCCAGCTCCAGCTCGTCCGACTCGGACTCAGAGGTGAGGCTGCACTCGCTCCCCGGTCCTCCAGGGCAGGGCACCCTGGAGAAACCAGAGGGGACTTTCCTGCCTCCTCCCCAAGAGGGAGAGAGAGAGGGGGGTCATGTTTCACCTTCTTCCAAGAACTACAACTGTCCTCAGTCCTTCTGTGGGGTAAAGTTTGCCCATTTTATAACTCTGAAGGTGTTTGTTAATCGTTTAAATAATCACTGGGCTTCCCAGGTGGTGCTAGTGGTAAGGAACCCACCTGCCAATGCAGGAGACAGAAGACACGAGTTCAATACCTGTGTTGGAAAAATCCCCTCAACCCCCTCTAGTATGCTTGCCTGGAGAGTGCCGTGAACAGCGGAGCCTGGCGGGCTATGGTTCATAGGGTTGCAAAGGGTCAGAGGTGACTGAAGCAACTTCACATGCACACGGCACGCACGCAGAGTGCTCTCTAAGGGTGAGAAGTAGCTGAAGATTCGGTTAGGTAAATGATGCAGGATCACACAGCTGGGGACAGGGGTGTTGGGATTTAAACTCAAGCATTCTCCAGACTGAAAGCCCACGTTAGGAATTTCCGCAGATGGTAAATAATAAACCTAGAGGGAATTGCCTGGTTTCTGTGGTTAGGACTCTGCTTTCACTGCTGAGGGCCCAGGTTCAATCCCTAGCTGCCTCCGACTGACGCCCTATTTCTCTCCTTCCGCGTCCAGTGCGAGTCTGGCTCTGAAGGCGAAGGCACGATGCACCGCAGGAAGAAGAGGCGGACGTGTGGCATGGTGGGGAATGGGGACACCACCTCGCAGGACGACTGCGTGAGCAAAGAGCGCAGCTCCTCCAGGTGACCGCGCGTGCCTGCCGTCTGTGTGCGAGGACGCGCCTGCAGCCTGCAGCGGGGCCCCGGGGCAGCCCGGGGAGGGCCGGCGAAAGCCAGAGAATGAGGACCTCTGGGGCACGGGAGCTGTTCACTCAGTGTTTGCGACAGTAGCTTTCTTCTCCGCTACCAATGCAAATGAACGTGGCTTGTTTTATGCATAAGGGTGAGGATCTGTGTGAATGGTGCCAAGGGAAACCTTGACGTTATTTAATAAAAGTTAAATTCATCTTCTATCTTTGAATTTTTTTTTCCTGGAAAACACCAGAACCTCCTCTCATTGCTCTTCTTGCCCTGACCTTGGGAGAAAATACTAACTCTGCTGGCGGGTGGTGGCTGCCCTCGGTGGGGAAATGATGGTTGTTATCACAGTAAAGGGGGAAACGCTGAGAAGTCATCCCCAAACTTCTGAAGAGTCTGAGGTGTGGCCTCCTGCTTTTTCTCCCAGTTTGCCACTGCTCTGTGGAGCACTTGCAAATTATTTAAATAAAATCTTAATCATGTCTCCAGTGGGGTTTTGTTTTTGTGTTAAACCTGAGTGAGGGAATTCCCTGGTGGTCCAGTGGTTAGGACTCTGAGCTTTCATTGCCAACGGTCTGGGTTCAGTCCCTGAACTTGGGGAACTTAGATCCCACAAGCCTAAACAAACTAAATAAATTATTTAAAAAAAAAAAACAAAAACCCTGAATTGGATCTAAATAAGTTAAAACTTGAGATAAAATCAACAAGCTAACCTTTTGCAAGCGGCTCCCCCAGCGCCGCACACACACCAGGCCCCCACTGAAGCATGGAGACCCTGCTGCGCCCCTGGTCTTTGAGCCCCAGAGCCCTGCTCCACGTGCTGCTGGCTGAAGTGTCACCTGGGCCGCATTCAGATGGATGGTTTCTGGGGAGACAGGGAAATCCTGAAGCTCTTGGGATTCTGTCCGAAGGCCCTGCCCACTGCAGCTGAAGCCCCTGTTACATTCTTTGTGTCTCCAAGCAGCCTAGCACTTGCCTAAATGTGACAGAAATGGAGGACCCCCATTCCTTTCTGTCATCTTTTCCTCATTCTCTGGGGTCTGGTTGGAATCCTGTGGGGGCTATTCGGGTGTCCTAATCAGATGAACTGATCAGACTGGATCACTCATTTCTCAGCCCTAGTTGTCCTTTCTAGCTGTAGATTTCTCTTCTTGCCATGTTTCTATTGTAGACTTATATCTGCCCCTAGGGTATGACTTTGTATTTGTACTTTATAAAGGAAAGTCTTTAGAGAAGACCCTGCTATTATTTCAGCCCAGGGCCCTGGGGGTTCTGCTTTTAACCTTTCATTCCCCTTTGCAGCAGCCCATGCTGTCTACCTGCTGATCACAGGTGGTTGTACTTTCCTTGACAGGATTAGGGACACTTGTGGAGGCCGTGCTCACCCCTAAACTGAAGCTCTCCCTGAGGTGGCTCCCGTGGGAGCTGTTGGCAGCCACCCACCTCAGTCTTCCTGTCTTCTGCTCCTACCTTCTCCTTTGTCTTCTCTGAATTTGGATAATCCTCTCTGACCCAAGCTCATGTCTCCGGTCAAATGCTGTTTTTTCTCTGCTAACTGAGACTAGATTGTCAAGAAGTTAAAAAAAATTCAGCGCGCTCAACGAAGCCCTGAAGGCCGCCGTGACGTCGGGTGAGAAGCTTCTGTGCTTTAAAACTGCTGGTCTGCCAACTGCAAGCCTGGAGGGCTGTGATCCTTTGAATGCCTTGTCGCCTTGCTGGTGGTGGTGTGGGACTCCCGCCAGACACGTGTCTGACTGCACGCAAGCAGAGACACCAAGAGTGGTGAGTGGACTCTGAGTTCCGTGTGAACCAGTTTTGTAAAAGAAGGACCAACGAGGACACCGCCTTCCTGTGGGCCATCATCCGTCCAGAAATGCATTTGGCAGCAGAAACCTGGCCGGGGGCCAGCGCCACTCACTCACCCACTGCGTAGTGCAGCCTTAGCGTTCGTCACCTTTTCTCCGTGGCCAGAGGGGCTGTGAGATTCCAAGGATATTTTCACATGGTGTGTGTTGTGGGGGAAGGATGACACATCGGGCTTGTTGGGTTTATGATCAAAGTGGGAAAGGTGTTCAGTGTGTTGTCATCACAGAACTGAAGTTATAAACAGGACCAGGTTCTTACAAATTTGTCCCCGTCTTTCCCACCATGTACCTGATCCCTGAGTCAGAAGCTCTCGCTCTCTAAGAGGCTTCATGATTAACAGCTTCATATCCTGGACCTGCAGACATTAGGTGGGCGATCCTGTTAGCATCCAGGAATAAATGCAGAGGTGGTTCATCTGGTCTTTGGGATCTGTTTAGGTTTCTAAATAACTCTGGTTTAAATACTTAGAGGCTGACTAGTAGGTTCCATCTCTTGCCCTCTCGATTCACCTGCTTGCCTTCATCCGTCTCTAAATGCAACTGAAATGTTATAAAAATAAGAGGGGGCTGTCGACACACCCAGTGACAATTTCCAGGTTGGACTGGGGGAGAGAAAGGCACCAGCAGGTTAAGGCAGAGGAGCCTCACCAGCGCCACCAGGTGCAGAGGAGTGTGGCCGCCAACTGGAGTCATGCCCATTGTCGCTCAGAATCCTCCCTTAAAGTGGGTATAATCAGGGGAATCCTGTTTACTTGTCTACAGACCAGTTGTCCCTTCCTAACTCCCTGGGTTGGTCATGTGGCTTTATTCTAGAAGGCTGGCCCCCTCTTTTGTCTTTGCCCAATTTTCTGCATTCTAAAAGGCCAACCAAAACTCATGTGTGGATTGGATGGAACTTCTGCTCACTTCCTAGTATCAGTCCACCTGCTACCCGCCCCCCCCCCAACACACACACACACACACACACACACACACACACCCTCTGGCTCCAGGGAGTGCTGTACCTGTGAGTGCTCACTCACTGAGTGGTATCTGACTCTGTGACCCCATGGACTAGAGCCTTCCAGGCTTGTCTGTCCATGGGATTTCCCAGGCGAAATACTGGAATGGAGTACCATTCCCTTCTCCAGGGGATCTTCCCAACCCAGGGATTGAACCTGAGTTTTCTGCATTGCAGGCAGATTCTTTACCACTGAGCCACCAGGGAAGCCCAGGAAGTATCTCTAGGTGTGAGCGAATCCAGACCCTGAAGGGATCATCCAGAAATCACGTTCATATCGGAATGGCGTTCCTCCTCCTTTTTAAAAAACTTTCCTTGACATCTTCAGAGTGCTTCTTTCTTTTCCCCAGTGTTGCTGCCGTGCTCTCACAGTCCCTTTCCTCAAATCCTCACCAACCGCGTCTCCCTCAACTTCAGCGTAAAGGATCAAACCACCGAACAGGCCGCCTGCCACCAGGGGGCGTGGTGGGCATGGTGAAGTGGAAGTTTGGCTGAAGAGACTAGCCACCCAGTTTTATTTCCCCCAATGCCAAAGGTAATTCCTGTTTGATAAACAACATCCAGAAATGAGAGATCCAGCCTATGTGACAGGCCCGCAGTCCCCTCTCCTGAAAGTGCCTGGGTGGCACAGGCCACCCCATGAAGGACCATGGGACCCTCCTTCGTTTTCTTAGCCGGGTGAGATTCAGCAGCTGCCTTTTACTGTTACTCTGCCAGGCAAACACACCACTGTGGAAGGAAAGTAGGGCCAAGGTGAGGAAATAAAGCAGTAGAATGTGCCAGGTGGTCTGGTCACTGTGAGGTAGGAAGTGGGATCCAAGGGCCCATCTGATCTAAAGTCAACCCTTCTACCCACCTGGCATGAGCTGCTCCTTTGAGTGGTGTCAAAGGCAGTAAGGAGAAAGATACAACATTAAACTCTTTTTAGAGATTATTCTCTGAGATGACAACTGACGTTAAAACCAATAGCGGGGTGGAGGGGGCGGTGCGGGGGGGACTTCCCTGATGGCCCAGTGGCTATGACACTGCACTCCCAATGCAGGGAGCCTGGGTTCAATCGCTAGTCAGGGTACTAGATTCCCACATGCTACCACTAACGATCATATTTACCCCAACAAAACTGAAGATCCTGCATGGTGTAACTGAGACTCAGTGCAGCCAAATAAAGAAATGTTTAAAACACAAACCCAACAAGCTGGATCCTAGAAGAAAGGATCTAGACTAGTAACTACTGAAGAAGAGGATCGGGGTGGGTGAGACCAGAATCGGGGACCCAGGACATCTGGGTCTGTGGAGACAAGGGAGGTCACGAAGGCTTCACCATCAGCCCGAGGCGGCCAGTGTCGCACACCGGTAGGTGCCTCTGAGGTCCGTAGTGCCGTGATGTTGAATGTGACGCCTGTGAGGGGAGAGCCGCCAAAAACAGGAACATTGTTCACATTTTGCTCAGCTTATAGATGCCCATTTGTTCACCATTAAAACGTTCAACAAATGTTGGAGCTCCAGGTTCTGTACTAGGTGTTGGAGACGCCACAGGGACAAGCCCAGATCCCTGACCTCCTAGATCTTCACGGACTGTGAGGGTGCTGCTGTTACAAGCGCTATGGACGGGTCAGGGCGGGGAGAACCGTGCACGTCCATCTCCGTGATCAGAAAAGCAAGTCTAGCCCTTACTAAGTACAAGTTAATGAGATCTTCATAAAGGAACATAATTATAATTTTAGCTGTATTTTTAACTGAGGACACAGTTTCTTTGTAAATCAGTTAAAGGTATTTAAGAAGCAGCTCAAAAATTGCTGGTACAAGTGCTTTACAAATTTATTAGAGGTTCTGCCTCTATTAAGATGCTAGATAAGAGTTGGAGTGGAACAGGGATTTTGCAGTAAATGTAAAAAGTACTGTCTAGGAAGTAGGCATTTAAGCACGCAGCCGTAGATTTTTGAATTGTATGTAGCATTTCCACAATTAAGTGTTTTTGTCATGTGTACTGGGTCCTGCTGATGGTTCCACGTAGAGTCTGGTTTCTCCTCACTCCCGCCTCCCTAGCTTCTGTCATGATACATCAAAACTGCAGGAGCCCTCCCAGGATGGCTTTTAACTTTGTCTCATCTGTAGTTCAAGTTCAAAAACTTGGAACACCTCGCACCCATCCTCTGTTCTCCTGGGAGCAGGAGAACTGACCTCGCCTGCCCTCTCCATGGGGACCGGACACTACGGAGGAGCTGGGACCATCCCCCGAATGCCTGGTGCCTCCTCAGTCATTAAGTCGAGCACGCTGAGCGCCTGCTGGTTCTGCTTTAGTTTTTCCTGTGGGGACTGTCACCAAATGCCTGAGCGTGCTGGGGGACAGCTGCCACTGGATTGGCATTTTTAACTTGGACTATGATGAAACTTGTTCATCGTTTTAAATAAAGCAACTTGATTTGGGGTTGGGTTTTTTGCATTGTCTTGTCCTTGTTTTCATTCTTACTCATCTGAAAGTCAACAGAGTGTACTGAGTTTGTCCGTACAAAGGGATCTCTTAAAAATACACTTGACCCTTGAACAACTCAGGGTTTAGGGGCATGACCCTCCCTATGCACAGTGAAAAGTTCAAGAAAAGCTGAGAGTCAGCCCTCCGTATCCAAGTTTCACAGTTCTGCAGCCAGCCGCAGAATGCATAGTACTGCAATTCCTGTTTAATGGAAAAATATACATATGTAAGTGGAACTATGCACTTCAAACGCATGTTGTTCAAGAGTCAACTGTACACTTTAAAACAGGGGAGACAGGTGACAAAAAAAAGGTCCAAACACTTTGGGTGAACGTCCCCCAGTGGTCAAAAGCCAGTAGCCAGGAGAAAAACCTCATTCCACATTTTAGAGTAGTGGGCATTTTTCATCAATCGATACTAAAATTCTCTTTGTGTGTCCCCCTAACATTATGTGATGTTGCAGGATTAAGCTCACCCTGCTGTTGGGATCTTGTTTGTCCTAGCCAGAGCTCAAGAGGAAGCTTGAGAGTGTTCTTGCATCTTCCTTTTAAAAAGAAGCACTGGGTGGGGCGGGGGATGGGTGGGTGGGACCTGGTGGTCCAGCGGCTGAGATTCCATGCTCCCAGTGCAGAGGACCTGGGTTCCATTCCTGGTTGGGGAAGGAGACCTCACCTGCTGCAATTAGGAGTCTCCATGCCACAACTAAAGAACCTGCAGTGAAGATCTGGTCTGCTGCTCCAAGACCCAGCACAGCCAAATGAATAAAAGTAAAATATATTTTTTAATTAAAAAAGAAGAACTCACTCCTTCCAGCATCTTACATCAGATATCAACTCAGACACTGCTTTTCCCAAAAAAGTATTGAATGCATCCTAAGTGAAAACCAGGGCCTGTTTTTTCAATATTAGTCCTGTGTTTGGCACGGCACCTAACAAGCTGTCCATTGTTTGTTTTTTTTTAAAATAACTAGAGCAGGGTTTGGGAGTGGTAGGGAAAAAGGTTTTCTGTTACATTTATCTCCAACCTACACTGTTCAGTAACAGCCCTGGAAGGGTCTGAAGAAGCAGACAGTAGACGTCTTTTCCTTCATTTCACCCTCTCCTACATTACAGAATTATTCAAAGAAGAAAGACGGCAGAGAAAATCGAGTTTGGCCCTGAAGCCCGTCTTTGGGGGCAGCCTCCACGACCCTGCTGGGTCGGGACAGGAATGGGGCATTCACAGGCCAGCACCTGGAAACGTCCTCTGTGAGAATGAACGTACCAAGGCAACCCCAAAGAGTAAAAGCCGCTGGCGATGGGTCTAGAAAGCGGCTGAAAATAAGCAGAATTGGTTCATTGTCCTACAGCCTTTACCTTGCCCTCAGCATTCCCTGGCTGTGCTTAGTCACTCAATCGTGTCCGACTCTTTGCGACCCCATGGACTGTAACCTGCCAGGCTCCTCTGTCCATGGGATTCTCCAGGCAAGAATACGGGAGTGGGTTGCAATACCCTTCTCCAGGGCATCTTCCCGACCCAGGGATCGAACCCAGGTCTTCCGCATTGCAGGCAGATTACCGGCTGAGCCACCAGGGAAGCCCTGGCAATTCTAAAATGCTCAAAGATGACTTGTGCGGGGCTAAAATGATGCCAAAAGGACCCCGGAGTGCTGGGTATTTACTCTAGTNTGCCCCAAGGAGGGCAGAGCCCTCGATCGGCAGGAAGGGAAGGTCCCGGCGTGCAGACTCTCAGCCCTCCCTCGAAGTGTGGCCGAGCCTCGGAGTTGCGGGTTGTCGCCTGGCTGGCTTTCCTCTGCTTGGCCTATCCTCTTCTGGCACGGGTCACACCCACCCCCCTCCCACACACACACACCTCCCCCCACACACACACCCCTCACCCTCCAGCCCACGGGATTCCAAATGCACGTGTATGTGGCTTGTTTCCAGGGCTTCAAGGATGGCGGTTATCCTGAGAGTAATATAATAAAATAGAATACTTAAAGAAGGAAAACTGCGTTTTCTTTTTAGGTCTATTTGGAATCCGGATTCCTGAGTCATTTATGTGTGAAACCCATTGGGTGGGGCTGAAAGAAAAGTACTGGACCATTGCAATCCTTTTTGTTGTCCTTTTCAAACTGCATGGTGCTCTGCACACCTCACCTGGGGCTGCAGATAAGCCTGGCCAGTGTGCAGTGAGCAAGCAGGATAAAGCCTTCCTGCAGTGCAGCTGAGCATCCCCCAAGCCCACCCTCCTGCTTCTGCTGTCCTGCAGCTCTGTCCTGACCCCTCAGTCTTGCTTCAGGATAGCCAGAGAGGTAGTCCTTAGTAGAACTAAGAGCTTCAGGATCTTAGTTCCCCAACCAGGGATCGAACCTGGGCCCCCAGGAGTGAAAGCGCACAGAGTCCTAACCACTGGACCACCAGGGAATTCCCCGATGTACGTCTTTACATTGGAAATCTATTTGCTAGCTGCACATTCCCAGGATTTCAGTGCCCTTGGACCCTTGGGGCCAGCACCATCGGCCCGGACCCTGGTCAGAACACCTTGTTCTGACTCCCTGGCTCCTTTCCTTGCGAGGGAGGCTGGCCGGGATGGTGGAAACCATGAGCAAGCGGTTTTGGTGCGTTGTCAGCGTGCCTGCAGCGCCCACTCTGAATTTTGCTGGACACAATGGTTTATACTGGAGAGAACCCTTTGACAGGAGGAGGAGGCAGCAAGGCTGGGCGGAGGCATGCTGAGTAATTGTTCCAGACCCCCTGTGAGCAGGCGCTTTGCTTGACAAGAGGGTGATGAATTGTGTCATTAGAGTGTATTCTAACCAGCTTGAGCAGAGTTGCTGTATTCCTCCCAAGGAGCACCGAGGCCCTGCTGTTCTTGAGGCCCTGCTGTTCTTGCCACCCTCACCTGTGGTGTTGACAGGTAGGGTTTGGACGCATGCTGATGTGTTAGCTTTGCTCTCCATGTTTAGGATTCTCTTGGGAACAGGAGACGCGTAGGGGCTATTCTCAGGCGCCACTTGCTCTCAATCGGCCCCGGTCCTACAGTGAACACACTGTCCCCTTTTCATCCAGAGGCAGGCTCTGGACTGAAGTTTAAATTGTCCTTTATGAACTTCCCTGGCGGTCCAGTGGTTAAGACTCCACATTTCCGCTGCAGGAGCCTGGATTCAATCTCTGGTTGAGGAGCCAAGATCCCGCATGCCAGGCAGTGCAGTCGTGCAGTGCAGCCAAAAATTAATTAATGAAAAATTTAAAAAGTCCTTTAGTAGTGCTCAGTCATCTCCTGATCTTCCAGATTACAGCACTTTTGAAAGAAGTTTCTACAAGGCCTCTAGGCTGTCAGTAATATATCCAGGTAACGGGTTTCGTGGTGGCTTAAAAAGCAGCCGTATCTGCCTCTGTCCTGTGAGGGTGAGTAGAGGCTTTGAAGGACAAGACGCCTCATGGAGGCTCACGCTTTGGGCACAGACTCAGAGTTGAACCCGATGCACTGCCCTAGCGGATGACCGTGACAGCTGAGGCTGTGTCCGTCCTTCGTCTCTACGTCCTGACCTGACATGACCCAGGCAACAGGAGAATTAAGTCTGTTTTCCTCCCTTGGAGGTCTTGCCCTTCCCTTTCGGTTTCAGGTCTCCAGCCTCTTCTAAGCTATCAAACCCCTGTCGACTCCAACTGTGCATAACGCCCGGGACCAGGTGCTGGGGACACAGATATCAGCTGTTCCCTCTCCTCTGCCTTGCCGCCAGTGGGATTACCCTGGAAGAAGCTTCTAAGAAACTGTCCGGAAGTGGACTTGGGCATTTTCAAGAACGGGTCCCAGGAACTTCCCTGGTGAACCAGTAGCTGGGACTCCAAACTCCNGATATCAGCTGTTCCCTCTCCTCTGCCTTGCCGCCAGTGGGATTACCCTGGAAGAAGCTTCTAAGAAACTGTCCGGAAGTGGACTTGGGCATTTTTAAGAACGGGTCCCAGGAACTTCCCTGGTGAACCAGTAGCTGGGACTCCAAACTCCCAATGCAGGGGGCCTGGGTTCGATCCCTGGTCAGAGAACTGGATCCCACATGCTGCAACTAGGAGTTCAAATGCTGCAGCTAAGACCCATTGCAGCCAAATAAATAAATATTAGGGGAAAAAAGAGCAGGTCCCGGCGCTTTCTTCTGACAACCATGCTGCCCCGTCTTAGAGAGCAGGCCAGAAGGCCCGCCGGGAAAAGTAACTCACGTCTGGGTTTGTCTGGGTTTGCGGCTGCCGTCAGCCAGCCTTGGGTCTGTCTGTCTCTAAGGGAACGGCAGCAGTGGGAGAGCAGGCGGGCCCAGCCCCAGCCCAGCAGAGCAGCACTTAACTCACCTCTCCCCTCCCCCTGCTTTTTCCATTAACCAAGCCCCTTCTAATCCAATCATCTTCCTTCCCCGCGAGGCCTGGGAGGCCCAGGGGCAGCTGCGGCCCAGGCTCACAAAGCTGATTATTGAGAAGCATCCGGAGCCCAGGGAAGCTGCCTTCCGCTGCGGCTGTGGGTCACGGGGAAGCGGCCCCGAGGTGCAGGAGAATCGAGTCGCTTGAAGGCCCTCGATGGGCTGGGAGGCTGAGCAACCGCTGAGGGAAAGGGGGTTAAATCAGGCAGGCCGGGGAGGCTGAGCGGAGAGCTGTGTCATATTATTAAACAGCCTGTCATTTCTCTGAGGAATTAGTGTGGAAGTGGGCAGGGATGGAGGCGGCATGCCCACCCTCACAAAGAATTATGGAGAATGATGTTGAGAACAAAAGCTGGTCCCTTGTAAGGCCAGGAAGCAGTGCTTTCCGGTGCTGAGGTCGTTGTTGTTTAGTTGCTTCAGTCGTGTCCAACTCTTTGCAACCCCATGAACAGTAGCCCACCAGGCTTCTCTGTCCATTGGATTTTCCAGGCAAGAATACTGGAGAGGGTTGCCATTTCCTTCTCCAGGGGATCTTCCTGTCCCAAGGATTGACCCCATGTCTCCTGCATTGGCAGGCAAATTCTTCACCAGTGAGCCACCTGGGAAGCCCACGAGGTACAGGTTAGGATTTAGGATTTGCAGACCTCTCACCTAATGGAGGCGTGGGTTCCAGCAGGGCTGCATCATAGGATGCCAAACAGTGGTCACTGACAGAGGAGCAATGTCGCTCAGTAGAGGTGCAGTTGAATCGCTCTGTCTGAGCCAGGACTCAGACATCCTGGTGCTCAGGCCCTCAGTCTGCTCAGAAATGGAGAAGGGACTTCCTCTAAGGCTGCTGGCCAATGCAGCAGGCAGGGAGACGCTTAGAGATTGAAGGAGACTAAAGAGACAGGAAAGACAAATGAAATACCTGGTTCTTGATTGGATTCTGGATGGGGTGGGAAGCTATAAAGAATATTTTAGAGATAACTGGATCATGTTTCAAATGAATGATTTATTAGATCATTTTATTGTATCAATGCTCACTTTCTTGAGCGTGATGCCGGCATTGTGATTATATAGAAACATGTCCTTGTTCTTTGGAAGATGCACGCTGAAACATCTAGGGATAACATGTCATGATTCAGATAGTTACACACATGTCATGGATGTGTATGGAGAGAGAGTACAGAGATGGAAAAATGTTAACAATTGGTGAATCTAAGTGAAAGGGTATAGGAGGGTTCATTGTATTATTCTTCTCTGTAGGTTTGAGACTTTCCAACATCCAGTGCTGGGAAAGCGGAACCTGATGGGGAATTTCTCAGGAAAGGGCTTGGTGTTTCGGGCAGTCCACGGTGCCGATTTGATTGAGCTGCACAGCCTCTTCTGTCTGCCCTCACCATGTGACTGGGCCCCTGTTCGCCTTTCTGACATTATCTTGCTCTTAGGCCCATGTTGATACCAGTCTTGTCACCACAGGTCTGTCCCCCAGGGAGCTGCAGACCCCCTAGCCTTCTCAGAATGACCACGAAGGTAAATCCCATCCCCCATCATCTGCCCTGACCTTCGTTAATTTTTTTTCTTTATTGTATTTTCTTTTCTTTTTTTCTCTTTTGTGTCCTGAGCTTCGTGATGTCAATGTAGCCCTACTTTCTGTTCTCCTAACAGAAGTCTGTTTAGTGGACGGCCCAACAGGTATCTGGCAGTTGTTCATACCACTTTGAGTCTTGTCCTTTGGTCCTCTCAGGCTCCTGTAACACAAAGAGTACCACTATAGATTGGCTGCTAGTCTATAGTACTACTATAGACTGGACTTCACTGGCAGTCCATTGGCTAAGAATCCCTGTTTCCACCACAGGCGGTACAGATTTGATCCCTAGTCAGGGAACTAAAACCCCAAATGCCCAGTGGAGTGGCAAAAAAAAAAAAAAAAATCATTAAACAACAGACATTTATTTCTGCCAGTGCTGAAGTTTGAGGAGTCCAAGATCAAGGTACCAGCAGATTCGGTTCTGGATGAGAACCTACATCCCAGCTAGCCAACTGCTGTGTCCTCACACAGCACGGAGAACACTCAGGTGTCTTCCTCTTCTTCTAAGGGCCCTACTCTCATCATGGGGGCCCCAAGATCATGACCCCATTAAACCTCACTGCCTCTCCTCCAAGTACCTCTGTAAGTACCATCACACTGGGGGTTCAGCATATGAATTCTGGGGGATACAAAAAAATCTGCAACAGATTTAGTGATTTTCTGGGGGTGGAGGGACAGAAATAATCCAAATGTTAGCAAATTGGTAGAAGTAAGTAAGAGAAAAAGCTGAACACAAAACAGGAATAGTGGGACTTCCCTAGTGATCCAGTGGCTAAGGCTCCACATTCCCAATGCAAGGGGCCCAGGTTCCATCCTTGGTCAGGGAACTAGATTTACCGTGCACAACGAAGATCAAAGATCCAGCATGCCACACGCAACTAAGACCCAGCACAGCCAAATAAATAAACATAAATATTTTTTAAAAAGGGAATATTTTCTTCACAATAACTACAACAATATACATCAACAGAGGATGAGATGGTTGGATGGCATCACCGACTCAATGGACATGAGTTTGAGTAAACTCCGGGAGTTGGTGATGGATAGGGAGGCTTGGCATGCTGCAGTCCACGGGGTCACAAAGAGTCGGACATGACTGAACAACTGAACTGAACATCAACTAAACAAGATGACGAAAAGGGCTGTAAGCAGAGTTCAACATTTAGTCATGTAAAAGGGTATGTTTTGCAAAGTTCTTTGAAAGTGAAAATGAAAGTCGCTCAGTCCCATGGGACTCTTTACAACCTCACAGACCGCAGCAGGCCAGGCTCCTCTGTCCATGGGATTCTCCAGGCAAGAATACTGGAGTGGGTAGCCATTCCCTTCTCCAGGGGATCTTCCCGACCCAGGGATCAAACCCAGGTCTCCCACATTGCAGGTGGATTCTTCGGAGCCACCAGAGAAACCCAAAGTTCTTTAAGCCCATAATTTAATTTTTTTCTTATGAGAAAGAAATTGGGGCTTTCCTAATAGCTAAATTTTGTTCTTTCTTTCAGTGATAGAGTTTTGTTTGCATGTGGAAAATGTAGCTGTCAGTTAAAATTTTTCTGCTTAGTGGAAAAAGTAAATTCCTAAAGAACATACCTTAAGGGGGAAAAAAAGTGCCTGGTTTCAGAGAGTTAGAAATAAAACACTGAGCGTGCTCACTTTTAGACAGCTTCTCTTCTGTAGCCCTTTCCTTCCCAGACCACAACGTGGGAGGGCTGAGACCAACTTAGACCTCCGGTGGACATTTTTTCTGAGAAATGCCAAGTCCCTGGTGGCCAGAGCATTTCTGGAACAACCTGAATCTGACCACACTCGGTTTTGCCCTTGTTGAGGACAGATAAATGGAACAGGAGTCCGGAAACCTCCTCCTATCAGGCCCTGATGCAGACAGAGCCCCTGGCTGCCCTTCTGATACCTCAATGCTTGGTCCAAACCAAAAAGGAAGGCTGGAATGCTAATAGCAATCATTCCTTGTCTCTCGCCAGGGAGGTGGGTGCATGGGTCCCTTTCTCCTTACAGTGAATAGCTAAAGAATAGCCAATGAGATTGAATGGTCTGAAGGAAGTCCAAATGTAAGAATTCAGGGAACTTGCTTATCTAAGATTTTTGCCTCTGACTAGCCTTGGGGACTTGGGGAAGCCATTTAACTTTGGGTCTGAGTTTTCCCATCTACAAAACAGAGGGATTGAGCTAAAAGGAGGTCTGCAATCCGGGACTATTTGCTTTCTAGCCATCAGCTCTTGTTTCATGACCTGGGTGGCAAGCATGTGTGTGTGTGCACACATGTGTTTATTTGGCAGTGTTGAGTCTTAGTTCTGGCATTTAGAGTCTTCGTTGGTCACGTGGGATCTTTCATTGCGGCACGCAGACTCTCTAGTCGTGGCGTGTGGGCTCACTAGTTGTGGCACTCGGGCTTGCTTACTCTGCTACATGTGGGATCTTAGTTCCCTGACCAAGGATCGAACCCAAGTCCCCTGGCATTGCACAGCAGATTCTTAACCACTGGACCACCAGTGGTGGTCCCTGTTTAGTATTCTCAAGTTAGAAATCCTTGCAGACATTGCTAACCATCTGGTCGAGACAGCCTTGAGCCTGGTCTCAGCAAGGGCCTAATTCTGTGACCTTGGCATTAACACTGTCCCAGCCAAGTTCTTTCTTGCTGAACACTCAGAGTCTGAGATCAATCTCATGACAAGAAAATCCTTCCGGTCCAGTGGCCTCCTATGAAAATCAATAAGCCTACTCTAGGGTTAGACCGTCCTTTATCTTTATTCCTCATGATCTAAAACTGGTTTCCCTTCCTTGGGTAGAGATCTTAAATTCTGGCCATCTGTGTTCTGTTATTATCCTTGGAGTTAGTCATGCTCAAAATTCTTCAGCCTGGCTTTCCCCAACACAATGATCGCATTTCTTCTGACCCTCTCAGATTTGGTCAGTCTAATTTAGTCAGACGGATTTGATCAGTCCCTTGGTTTTCCTCCTTGTCCTTGACCTTTTCTGTTAATCCTGAAATGTAGAGAGGAGAATTCAACCTAATTCTCACTGATTGAGGGTCTGGTAGATGCCTGATTGCTGCCTCAGGGTTTTGTTTTTTTTTTTTTTAATGAAGCTTTTGATGTCCTCTAAATCCTATTTGTAGGAACAGTGCCAAAACCCATTAATCTGATAGGATTGAATCTGGCAGGCTGATGTCTGAGCCAGACAGAGTGGCTTAGGGTTAAGGTTTGGGGCTTGTGAATGTGCCCTCAATTGGGATCTGAGGTCAGAGTCCAGGATGGTTCTTTTAGTGTGGACGTTTGAGCACAGCATCCTGCCGGGCTGACTCCTGGTGCCCTGGGGCGATGTGCAAGTTCTCAATCTCTCTCCCCTCTCCTCCAACCCCTGCCCCTTGAGTCCGAGGATTACCGGGTGCTTTCCTTTTGCTAGAAAAGCTCATGCTCATAGTATCAAGTGGAGGACTCACATCTGGGCCCGGGTCACCCCTGCCGCCTCCCAGAACACATTATCCAACATGGGCTTCCCAGTCAATAAGGCTGATGCAGGACTTCCCTGGTGTTCCCGTGGTTCAGAATCCACCTTCCACTGCACGGGGGGCTTGTGTTCTATCCTTGGTCAGGGAACTAAGATCCCACATGTGCCACAGGCAACTAGAGAACTCACGTGTGTGTGTGTGTGTGTGTGTGTGTGTGTGCGTGCGTGCGCATGCGTGTTCAGTCACTCAGTCATGTCTGACTCTTTGCGACCCTATGGACTGTAGCCCGCCAGGCTCCTCTGTCCTTGGTGATTCTGAAGACAAGAATATTGGAGTGGGTTCCTGTTTCCTTCTCCAGGGGACCTTCCTGACCCAGGGATCGAACCCGAGTGTCTTGTGTCTCCTGCATTGGCAGGCTGATTCTTGACCACTGTGCCCCCCCCTCCACACCTCAGCAAAGACCCAGTGCAGTCAAAAATTAAAGTTAATTGATTAATTTTAAAATAGCTAAGGATGTCAAAATATATGCACCCAGCCCAGCACCATCCCAGCGGTCTCTTGGACATCTCCCTTGCCCTCTCTAATGAGCACTGCAGATAGCAAATCCATTCTCCTGCATAAAGCCCCTCAGTGGCTGATAGAATAAACCTCACCCTCTTACCCGGGCCCCTGAGGCCCAGCAGGACCCCACCTCAGCCTTTTCTTCAGCCGCCCCCCTCTGCTCAGCCCACACGCCAGGCCTGGCGGACCCTCCCCGGCCTACATCTTCACAATTGCTCCTCCTCCCCATCAAGTCTCTGTGTCCTTGACCACCTTGGTGGATATGAAATCTCCCAACACGTCGTACCCTCTGGGCTGACTTCCTTCTCAGCTCTCAGCATGGGCTGAGGTCATCTTTTGTTTCAGCCTGCGCTGTCGGCCGTGGCAGAATGTCAGCGCGTGAGAACAGGGCCCTTGCCTGCCACGTCCAGGGCCACATCCCCAGCTCCTAAACAGACTTGGCGGACACTGGCACCGCCAAAGTACCTGCAGAATGAATAAGCTGCAATCATAACAAAAAGACAGGGGAAACTCTGTCAGCTCCCGCTGACAAGCAGGCTCTGCCTCCCCGCAGAACCGCCCTGGGCAGCAGGAGTCTGCTTCTCTATGTGCCCAAGGCCTTGCGTGTTGCCCGCCTGCAGATCATCCCTAAAGTCGCATATTATGCTCCAAAGAAGCAGACGGCTCTGTAAACTAGTCCTCTCTCCGATGTAAGATGAGTTCAAACGCAGACTGGATAACTGGCAGTTCATCAAAGATTTGATCAACGGGTGTTTTCTACTGGGTAGAAGCCACATTAAATCAGTGGCCTCCTAACATTTTTGAAAAAGAGTTATTCATTTATTTTTGGCTATGCTAGGTCTTCCTTGCTGCACACGGGCTTCCTCTAGTTGTAGGGAGTGGGGGCTTCTCTCTGTGGCAGTGCGCAGGCTTCTCTTGCTA